TCTGAGTCGTGGTGACATTCGATTGCGATATGGCCTACAAAATTATTCGAGAGCAGCCGATGCAAAAGCCAATGTTGTCCTCGCAGACAAGTCTGGCACCCCGACCCCGCAAGGACGGAAAGTTGAGTCGGTATTGGCAAGATTTGGTTCGAGATTCGACTCCCGGCTCAAATGCGTTGGAGGAAGGACCAGTGTCGATTTACCACCTCGGCCCATTACGGGATGGGGCCATGAAACGAGAAAGAATTATGCAGAACAAAAGCTGCAGCATTTCCGGCACCTCCGATTTCTCTTTCCATGACCCCTCGATGGATAGCGACAGCCGAATATCCACAGCATTACTTTATCAGAAAAACGTGAAGTTCATCAGCTGTTCTCTGTAGAATGCGGCTGCACACGGTAACAAGCTCCCAAATAAGCACAGCTTATTCTTGCTTTATTTTAACTTAGAACTTATCACAATTTCGAAATCATATAAGGAAGAAATGACAACTACTATTACACATATCAAAATAACGGATAAATGGAAAAATTACGAGAATAGAAACCATCTCTGAACAGTTCTGAAAGTAAGAGAAAGCTTAGCAATTCGAATTTAAGTGGCTTCGCTTCCGCTCACAAAAAAAACAATTTCAAAAGTTTTTGGTAAGCATTAAGGATAGTCCAAAAGAGGCAGCACAACCGTCAAAGCTCTCATTGTCAACAGTGCGATTATTAGTCACAGAGAAATAAGGTAAACGTGAAAAACAATCACGTCGATGAGCCGTCTTGTTGAAGGGTCTGTAACTTTGCTTCTGAAACAGACACAATTCGAAAGATGCTGACAACACTACAGCGTAACACCACACATGAGCTTTTTATGCTCAAAAAAATTTGGGTCCACATATTTCAAAATGGACGTCAATCAGCCACAAGTAGGGCATCTTATGAGCACCCGTAGAGAGCGGAAAAATCAGGGGGAAGCGAGCCGGGTTCTAGGAGTGAAAAGTGGCAAATTTCTTGCCACAATCATATAAAAATTCTCAGAACATCATTGGGAATTCTTGAAAATTAAAAGCTTGGTTGTTTGAGTAGAATTTTTTTAAAAATTTGATCACATAAAAAAAACCGGGTCAAAAATATCCCTCGGTATTAAGAGATAAAGACAACATAGGGAACCTCCAGCACTGAAAGACATTGCGATCACTATACTATTACGTGTTATCTTGGCTTTTTTATACCCAATGGGCGGAAGTGGTGTAGTGGCAAGTGGCGCGCTTACCACGCGAGCGGTCCGGGGATCAAATCCTGGGTCGTGAGTCGCCCGGGCCAACCAAGCCTTCCATCCCTCCGGGGTCGGTTAATTGGTACCTGGGAGGATAAAAACACTGACTTGAACATCGGCTGGCCCCCGCAAGTCATTGTATAGGCCACATCGCATTCAAATGCCACTACGAATGTACAAATGGAAGTAGAATGCGTGCCGCATCCCAAAACGGGATTGATCAACGGCAAATGCTTTATCCTTTTCTATTTTTCCCTCATCAACCTATCATTAATTTCATCAGCTATAATACAAAGTTCTTTACAGATTGGAGGATGAGTACGTTAATGTGACTACCGAGTGTGATGTGAATTCTACACATAAAACAGCGCTATCGCAAAATGCGGGGGCAGTGTGATGACAATGCAGCTGAAGCCGCGTGAAACTCTCCGTTTGAGACGGAACTAAGCTTTAGGCGGGAGAGGAGAGATTTCCAGGGTGTGTGAGCGATTCATTTCTTCAAAGATCAACCGTGATCCCCTCCCCTCCTAGGCTTAGTCCTAGAATGCCCCCGTATCTTGCGATAGCGCCCACAAAATTGCTGGATAAATCAGAGAAAATCATCGTTCC